TGGGCTTGCCCCCAGCCCTGCACGGCCCCTGCTCAGTCAGGGCTGAGCCCTGGGGGCCACTCGGCTCAGATATATTCGAGCGAGCTGCTAGTGGGCAGGGGCTCAGCATCTGCCACAGGAGCACCCGCCACGGCTGCTGGGTGTCCCCTTGTGGCAGAGAGCAAGCGGGTAGCCGTGTCCTTGCCCTCGCACGTGCAACGTGAGGGCTTCGAGCTCTTTGCGTCGGCAAGGAACACAGAACAGAGCGGAGACGTGACCCGCGGCGCTGTTGCCTGCAAATCGCCCCTTCGGCCCCCCCACGTTTGTGGGGCCAAGGAGGCGCTCAGGCCACCTTTGCAGGACGTGTGCGATGTGCGGCCTGTGCTAGCCTGCCTGGCTGCATCGTGTGTGTTAAGTGCAAAATAAAACCCAAATCCCTGGTTCCTTATCTGGAAAGGATTTCACCCAAAGTTCATCTAGTGCGCCAGACGTCCGCTGCTTCAGCTCTTCACATGCCCTGGCATGCCTGAGCACGTCTCCATTGCTGAGCCGTTGATGGGCACCATCCACCTTTGTCAGTTAGTCCAAAGGAGAAGTAAGAGCCTAGCTTTGCGACTGGGTATGGGAGTCACTTTTCCTGGCCTACGAACGGATGTTGCGTTTGTCCCAGGACCCCTCCTGCCTATGTTTCTCTTGGAACAGAAGAGTCACCGAGCAGGTGGGCTTGTACACACGCAGTTGGGGTTTAGTGAGCAGCTGAATGTGCTGCCGCTTTTCTGCCAGTGATCCAACAGTGCAATCCTGGGACGTCCATTTGGATGTGCTTTGCAGTGTCCAGGGGCAAACTGTTAGTAGATGTTATCCCACGACCCTACTGTGGCCTGTCCCAAGACAATGGAAGTGAATGTCTGAAGGATCATGATTTGCTTTGGGACAATATGAATTTTCCCAGGACAAATGTGATGTCTGTTCATAGCCCATTTGATGTAGTATAGGTCTGAATGGTTTCTGTTCTAATTCAGGTATGATTAATGCCTGCTCCTTCAGCAATTAAAGGGTTGCCTTTGTATGGCTAGCAACCTTAACAGATATGGTTGCCTTGTTTGTTGTTATATTGAATATTTGCCTGTTATAGGTCTGTTCTGGCAACTGTTGATCCTTCCTGGTGTATGCAGGAGATGTCACCCAGACCTTTGATGCATATGCCTAGTCAGGAGTTTTGGGAGGAATGGAGGCTGCCCAGACCTTCCCTTTAGGGCACTGAAACAGGATCCAAAGGCCAGAGTGGGTCCAGACATTTGGTGCCTCCAAGGCTGTATTTTTGTATAAGCGTCCAGGAATTGAACCCAGGTCTCTGGTGTGGAAGGCAAGGAGTCTACCACTGAAGCACAAGGGACTCCTATTGTAGGTCTAGTGACAGATCAAATATCCTTGAAATCCTTTTTTACTGTACTAATGCAAAAGGGATAGTTGTAGTTTGGGTTTTCGTGTCAGGTTATTGTTGGCTTACTCCCATTGTAACTGTGGCTATTAAAACCTTATATTAAACACATGGGGAAATGCAAAACAGTCACAGCATTTGTAATTTAAAGGATTAAGGCTTTAATACTAACAGTTTCCTTGAATCTCTTTTCTTTTAGTTGTAAAGAGTCTTTTACAGTTATTCAAGGCTTAGACAAGATGGTGATAGTAGTGGCAACATAGCTTGCTGATTTGGACAGTTTAGGATGGTTTTCTGGATCAGATCAGTGAAGGTTCAGAGGTATTGATGTGCATCCCAGGAAAAAATGGGTCAGCAGCAGTCCTTGTCATGAAGTTTTCTAGTCCCTGCTCCTGCTTTCCCATTAAGGGATTCCCATAAATTATGTCCGAGAAGAGGTGCAACCTCATACCATTAAATCAATTAAAACGCATTTCAGTGATATCAAAATTAAACATTTACTCCCATTTCTGTCTTTCTCAGCATCTTACCAGGTCAGCTCCAGGCCATCTGGTTTGTACCAGTTTCTCAGTACTTGCTGACTTTTACAAACAGTTGCATGCAATGCGAAGTAGGCAGCCTTTTCAGACTGTGGCTTGGAGTGACCCAGCTTCAGTCAGAAGCAGGCAGCAGGGTGGGCACGGGGACCTACCCGCTATTGCTGCCATGATAGCACGGGTGAAGCTCCACCATGGTGTAGTAGGAGAAGCCCCATGCCCGCAGGCCAGGTCCTATGGCTTGGTGGGCCAAATTTTTGCCACAGGCCGTAGATTGCCAACCCCTGATCTGGAGTTAAATTAGATGAACATCCTTGACTTTATCTAGCTTCTACTTTTAATAATTCCTCCAAACTTCGTTAGTTATCTGCCAGCAGACTGGTTTTAGTTTTGTTAACAAGGAGGTCTTTATTCCATATACATTTGCCCTCTCCAAAATGTTCTTCTGTGCCTAATTACATTTAAAGCCACCTTTTTTACACCATCTTCCCATCCCATCTGTGACATCCTGAACCTCCCCAGACTAGCAGGCTCTGTGTGTAATATCAGAGAAGCAGTTACCACAGAGGCGTTTACACCTTGTGTTGGGTACCAACTGTTATTTCAGCTGGTGGTAGACTTTTGCACTCTACATCTGCTTGATATCTAGCCAGAATCAATTGTAAGGATTTTTTCCTCTCACCTACTTAGGCAGTCAGCTGGACTCACAAGCTTCAGAAAGATGAGATCAAAGACTTCAGGTTCATTGACTTTCCAGGAGGCTGTTTCAGATTATACTGATGTACTCGATGGTGCCAAACTCTTACCAAGCTGTTACCTTGATTTTCCTGTTTACCCAGGAAATCCAGCCAGTCATGCTCTGGCTCCATGCCCTCCAACTTTCTCTGTTGACTCTGGCACCTTCAGGTTTGGCTTTGCTGTACAGGGGACGGCTGGTACTTTCAGGGCTTGCAATACTCATAACTGCTGATGTCCTGCTCACTCTGAGTGACATCCTGTGATGGGCAGGGCAGACCCTGTTCAGCATCCCCTGCTCACTCTGCCGCCTCTGTGGTAGTCCCATTGCCTATGTTTTGGCACCAGAATTGAGACTCATGAGAAAATCATCTTGGTCTAGACTGGGTATAGTAAAGAGTTAGTACTGGGGTATGATACTTGGAGGTTCACTCAATCCTTGGATTTTAAATGGATTGATTTATCAATAAATACTTAGTTTATGAAAGGTAATACTGTTGGATCAACATTTATAACATCTGTGGCTGCTGGGAGCTCAGCACTTTTGAAAAATTGATCTTGGTTTTAGACCCTATGCGTAAACCTAGGAGCTTAATTTTGGGCTTCTGTTTCGGAAAGATTGGCCATGGTTATTTTTAGGGGCATAAAAAGGAACTGCTCAGTAATGTATTGCTCTTTGTCCATTGCTCAATAACATCATCAGCCAACTTGAACTCCAGATAGGATCACCAGCCTCTACTACTCTTCCTCCTGCTGATCAAACTTTTGCACACACCAGTGCACAGGCGGTGAAGAGAAAGCAATGGAGCTTATCTGAAACCTTGATCAACTTGATGTTTTCCTTTGTTTCTTTTGTCTCTTTTCCTCTCATTTGTTGAAGTGTCAGATATTGTAATAACTTCCCCAAATGGTTTGAATTATGAGAGAGAATTGATTTAAGGAAAGGCTTCCACAATATGATTTCAGTTGCCTTTGAGAAAATAATAAAGATCTTAATATAAAAATAAACTCTGTTTAGTGTAAAGCAAGACAGCCGTTATATCATGCAACTTTTAATTTATTGTATGTTAGAAACAAGATCCCCGACTTCCCCCCACTCAACCTCCTGCTGCTTCTGTCCTGATTTTCCCTTCTATGATAATGCTTTTCCACTCTGGTTTGCATCCTAATTCTTTTAAGGAAAATCATCACAATGTCATTTATTTAAAATGTTGTGGGAAGCTGCTTAGTGGAGTAAGCATAGGGTAGTACTAATGAAATATTTAATGTATATCAATAGGTAATTATTTTGGGGGATAAACTTCCTAGTAGGTCGGAACTTCATCAAATTGTGATTTTACTGAAGGTTTTTTCTTGCCTTCCAGGGAAAGCTGACTGCAAGAGAGCGAGTTCTTCTGTTGTTGGACCCTGACAGTTTTGTTGAATATGACATGTTTGTGGAACACAGATGTTCAGATTTTGGGATGGAAGCTGATAAAAATAAGGTATTTCTGTTCAGTTTACTTCCTCTTCTTTTTTAATTCTTCAGTGTGTAGCAATTCATCAGTTCTCAAATAGGCTCCTGAGAGGCATTATAGAGACCTTCTTGATTTTTTTTTCTGCCTTAAGCTGCTTGGTTTTCACTTTCTTCCTTGCCCCTCCTTATTTCCATTTTATATTGTATGCAGGGCATGCATCTTTCTTTTGGCTTCCCTTGGGTTGAATTTCAGTTTTTTGAAAGATGCCTTTTTGATTCAGATAATCTCTTGACCCTTGCCTCTTGCACATTAGTTCTTCGAACATCACGAGTTTGAGCCCTGGCAATGGCCACAAATGAAACAAAATTATGGCTGAAAGGACTTACACATTTACACTGAACTTGATGCTGGAGTTACTGTGTGAAATCTGTGTTATGTCAAGCAGACTAGATGGTCATAGTGGTTTCTGACCTAAGTCCATGATATGCGTCTGTCAAAGCTAGCTTATCCTGGTGAGTGGCTGGTGAATGACACTGTGATGTACAATGAAAACAGATTCAGTTCATGCCCTTGGCACATCTGTGAAATAGTGTGAGGTCAGGTGCATCACAGAGGGGCATAAACATAAAAAATATACCAGCTAAGGATTTGACTGGAACTTACTGCAACTATAACTGTGCACCTGAATATATATGCACATGTTCATTAATGTAAATATATCAAGAGCAAAGTAAATGTATGAAGCACATTACATTGGAAAGGTGAATCAGGAGCCCCAAAATTATGAGGCCCTGCCAATCCAATCCAATGAGTAAGATTGCTCTATTTAATTTGCTATTAAATCAGATTCATAGACATTAGGGGCTGGAAGGGACCCCACGAGACCATCAAATCCAGCCCCTCTGCCATAGGCAGGAAGTCTGCTGGGGTCAAATGATCCCAGCAAGATAAACATCCAAATGCCTTTTGAATGAGTCCAGAGTAGGTGCTTGTGCCACCTCTGGGGGGAGTCTGTTCCTGACTCTGGACACTCGGACTGTAAAGAAGTTTTTCCTTACGTCCAGTCTAAATCGGCCTTCTAGAAGTTTGTGGCCATTAGACTTTGTTGTCCCTTGGGGAGCCCTGGTGAACAGCTGTTCTCCCAGATCCTGATGCACTCCCCTTATATACGTATAGGCTACCACCAAGTCACCCCTGAGCCTTCTCTTGTCCAAGCTGAAGAGTCCCATGTCCCTTAGCCTCTCCTCGTAAGGTTTGCTCTCTTGGCCTTTTATCATATGGGTGGCTCTCCTTTGGACTCTCTCTCAAGCTTGTCCATATCCCTCCTGCAGTGGGGGGCTCAAAACTGGATGCAGTACTCCAGCTGTGGCCTCACTAAGGCCAAGTAGAGCGGGAGGATGATGTCCTTTGTTTTGCTTGAGATGCATGCCAGTGTTTGGTTTGCTTTGCTGACCACAACATCGCATTGGTGGCTCATGTTCATTTTGTGGTCAGTCAAGACCCCCAAGTCTCTTTCGGTCATGGTGCTAGCAAGTGTGGCACTGCCAAGCCTATAAGTATGATGCTGGTTTTTCCTCCCAAGGTGGAGCAACCTGGACTTCTCTATGTTGAATGCCATCAGGTTTTGGTCCGCCCACCTTGTGAACATGTCCAGGTCAGCCTGTATCCCCAGCCTGTCTTCCAGTGTGACCGCCTTCCCCCATACTTTAGTGTTGTCTGCAAACTTTGCCAGTCTACATTGGACCCCTGAATCCAGATCACTAATGAAGATGTTGAAGAGCACTGGCCTGAGTACTGAGCCCTGAGGGATTCCATTGGTCCCCTTGCGCCATGTTGATTTGCTCCCATCAACTAATACTCTTTGGGTCCAACGCCGGAGCCAGTTCCCCAGCCAACAGACTATGAGATGGTCAAGCCCATAGTTCCCCAGCTGAGCCATGAGGACATCATGGGAGACCAAGTCAAAGGCTTTCTTGAAATCCAGATATATGACATCAACTTAGTCTCTCTTGTCCAGGCAACGCATCACCTGGTCGTAGAAGGAGATGTGGTTGGTCAGGCAAGACCTTCCAGTAACAAAACCATATTGGCTGGCATTCAGAAGGGTTTCTTCTGTTTACCTGTTGCTGATGGGTCCCTTGATAATTTTCTTTTTCTTCTGTTAGCCTGTTGCTGATGGGTCCCTTGATAATTTTCTCCAAGATCTTTCCAGGGATGGACATCAGACTGATTGGCCTGTAATTCCTTGGATCTTCCTACTTTCCTTCCTTTCTTGAAGAGTGGGACCACATTGGCTCTTTTCCAGTCTTCCAGTACCTCACCCGAGTGCCACAAATTCTCAAATATCTTCACCATAGGGCGTGCTATGATGTCCGTCAGCTCCTTCAAGACTCTCAGGTGCATTCTGTTCAGGCCCGCAGACTTATGGATGTCTAGCCTCTCGAGGTGTTCCCTCACTTGATCTATGGCAATTGTGGGCCCATCTCCCGCTCTCTGGATGTTTTGCATCCTGTCTGACAGGGTGACCCCCTTGGGCATGTGAAAAACTGACGCAAAATAATCATGTAGGAGATTGGCATTTTCTTGGGCATCAGACGTCAGCTGCCCCATTTGATCTCACAGGGGTCCAATGTTGCCTTTGTTCTTTCTCCGACCTCCCACATATCTGAAAAAGGACTTTTTGTTATCCTTGATTCTGGTGGCTAGCCTGAGTTTGGTTTCTGCCTTGGCTTTGCTGGACCACTCTCTATAGGTGCAGGCTAGTGCTGAGTAGTCCTCCATGGTGATGATTCTTGTTTTCCATCTGGTGTAGGCTTCTCTCTTAAATTTCAGGACCCCAAAGATTATAAATTAATCTTATACTATCAATTTTCATTTATTTTGTATTCAGAACTACATTTTAGAGATGTGGTGGGGCTGGAGGAACCAGTGGGTAGGTAACAGTTTGGGTCTTGTGCACTGCAGGATTATCAGAAGGTTTGGGAATCAGTTTTGTTTTTGGAAGTTGGGAGGCAGTTGAGGTTTGACACTGGAGAGAAGGGTGAGGGTGCTCCAGGTGTTGTTTTCATCTGGGCAAGCCCCTTTCCCCCCATAGTTAATTTTCTATTCCTCTTGTCAGCAAACTGGTAAGAGCAGCTTAATTCCTTTCTTTCTCATCTTTCTCTTCCTTTTTCTTTTCCCTTTCTTGTCTGTCCCTTCACATTCCCTTCCCTACAGCACCTTCAGCTTCACTGCAAGAGCTTTGTTCCTTGCCTTTTCCCCATTTAGTTGCTAAAATAAGGAAGGTGATGGTTAATGCTGACAATGTTAGACTTTAGTGTTAACATCCCTTGGGAGTAAAGGTAGGTCAGAACTTGCCAGCTATCAGCGCTATTATTTCTGCAGTCAGAAACTTGCCTATGGAAGGTATTTATCTGTTTGTACAGTTATTTATATCATAGTAGCACCCACGCATCCTTTGCAGGTTTGGGGTCCATTGTATAGCACTCAGACATAGAAGAAGAACATACCCATGTTCTATCATGGGTATTTCCCAGGCTTCTGGGCTTTGCTGGTTGCCCCCTCCCCACCTTTTCTGCTCTGTGTGTCAGGGTGTTTTTAAGACTTCCCAGAGGCATTGGGTATTGGCTACAGCCAAGGCTGGGGATTTTGACTGGGGTGGCCAGTGCTCCTGCTGGGACCAAATTTGGAGGTTCTTGGCTAGAAGGTCTTGCCCCTCTGCTCAGGGTGAGACCAATCTCCATATTTGGGGTCAAGAAGGCATTTTACCCCATGGTCAAATTGGTATGGACAGTGGGGGGGGGTTGCCTTCCACTGTAGTGGGGGTGTGTGACCCTCTACCGGGTTTAAATATTGGCTTGAAAAACTCTGAAGTCTCTTGACTTCACAGGCAGACTAAGTATATTTCAAGATGTTTGAACCCAGACAACAGTTCTCTTCTAACCGTGTTCCTCTTTTGTACAAGGTGAGAACCAGCTCAGAGCATTGTGAACATGCTGTGAAGGACAATTACTATGCATTTCCTTCCTTTTTTGATGCCAAGTTCTTTTGGGTTTTTTTTAGTATTGCCTTAATTCCAAGCTTCCTGAAGAAAACTACAGTGTTCTCAGATATTTACCCATTTTAAGTTATTTATCTTATAGTAGCACCCAAACATCCTTTGCAGTTTTGAAGTCCATTGTGCAGCACTCAAATGTAGAGGAAGACTGTTCTTTCCAGAGAATCCATCTTAGTTGCATCCTAATGATATTTTTGTCTGAAAATTCAGAACTTGACATAATTGTACACATTATTGCTGCTCTGATTTATATGTTCTTTGATCTGTCATGCAGTATCCAGGAGACAGTGTGGTGACTGGCCAGGGCAGGATTAATGGGAGACTAGCTTACGTCTTCAGTCAGGTATGAATTTGCTTTTTGTCATTTAAATGTAGTGAGCATCTTACTTTTTTCAGTCTCTTCACACTGGTTTCTGTCCTTCAGCATATTTACATTATTATTCAAAATGGTCATTGAATTAAAATAATAATGCCCACTGTTTCACTCACATGCCAGCTTGGGTAGCATAGAGGCAATCTCATTGTCTGGGTGGACTGTGCTGCCCCATCCACCACACAGCTTTGGAGGATACACCACAAGGGTGACATTCCTGAGATGACAGCAGAGTGCTGGAGGTTTATGTGACAGTGACTGTTCAACAAGGATGAATCCATTGATGGAGAAGGAGACTTGAAAAATAGCTGTGTGTTCAGCAACAATTTTCTGTTCGAGCTTAATATTTTTTTAATGGTATTTGGCTGAAAAAAAATTAAGAAAGCATTACCTTCTGACCCTCATAATATAGCAGTGTGCAAGTGTCCCTGGGGCCTGCTTGTAAAAATAGACTAGACAGGTTGATGGCAAACTCTGTTGTGAAAGAGAGGCAGTCATAGACATAAGTCAGAGTTCACCCCGGAAGATGGGAGTGACATTTGTCAGGGTATTTAAAGAACCCGGGTGCGGAGGCATATATCTTTCTAGGTGAGACAACTGTTATCACCTCAGGGTAAGATGACTTGTTGCTGATATCTTAAGAGAGATGAAGTCTGGGAAGACTCAGGGAGCCCAAAGAGAGCAGAGTTTCAGTAATCAAGGCATGAACTAATGATAAATGACTGAGCAATATGTGTTGGGCTCACAGCATATTCAGCCTTTAACCCGGATCCTGCAGTTGGATCTGTGTGAATGGACCTCACACGTGCATACACCCTGTCAGTTAGTGAGGTGATGATAGAATTTGGAGTTGGAGATTAAATAGAGTTTGGGGCTGAAGATATGCAGGAAAACTTGTTTTTCAGGGTAGGGTTAGTTGAAGGAACAGTGGTAAATGGAATAAATGTTGGATTTGTCTTTTAAATTGTTTTTATTTGGGTTAAAGACATTAGACACTGCCTGTAAGATTTTCGTATCTCTGTAATTTTTATCTAGTTACCTAATAATACTTTTCCCCCTCAGTGCATCTTTTTTCCCTTTCACTATTCATTTGACTTGTCTGTTTAGACTGTAAGCTCTTTGGAGGAGTGACTGGTTCTTCCAGCGTTTGCATATATTTTGCTATTAACTAGGACACTGGGTCCCGAGTCATGGATAATGATAAAAACAAGGAAAAGATATGTCTGTACAGTATGTATGATAGTTTACTGTTACACATTTTGCATTAAAATAATTAATGAACTTCATGTTTATATATATAAATGTGAGATCATCTTTGATTTGTGAATTTGTTTTGGAGAAAAGCCAAGAGGATAATCAGTTCCCAAGCATCTGACCCCAGCAGTTTCTTGGAAACACTAATGCAAGTGTATTTGGTTATTGAAATGTTTCTGTACTTGATTTCAAAATTTGTTTCTTTTTCAGGATTTTACTGTATTTGGTGGAAGTTTGTCAGGAGCTCATGCACAAAAGATCTGCAAGGTGAATATTAGACAGATAAATAGTAAATAATGTTAAGCTAATATCTTGAAGAACATGATTTGTGTTACTTCAGTGTCAGTAACAAGTTGAAAACTTCTGTCTCCTTTATGGTAACTTGGGGAGTGGTAGTTGATCAGAAGAGTTATACTGGGGATCCTCAAAGGTACACTGAATTTTATTGGATATTCTGCATTTTTGCTGAATTGATCTGCCTGTTCCACTTACTGCAAGGCAGACATGAGAGACCCACAGAATGTCCTGCATGAAGTCACTGACTGTTCTCCAAATAGTGTTTGCTGTAGGATTGTAAACTGACTTGGAAAAAAACTGTTGTAGTGAACAGTTCTTTTAAGGTTTCATATTTATGCTAGGAAAATAAAACACATCAGTGTAATCTGAAAGTCAACAACTGTACAGTTTGGAAGTCACCTTGGTCCTCTGAGCCATGGGTGATATGTCCTGTGTACTCCTTATCTCTTGTCTGCCTACCAAGTGGTTATTGGAGCGCTGCACACAAATAGCACTGCATTCTAAAGGAGGTGTGACCACCCACTTCAAGAAGAAATTATCAAAACTAATCACCATAAGCAGGTCAGTGAAAAACTGTCTTGGTTTGCAACAGACATTTAAAACGACAGCAGCCCCCTCCCTCCTTAAAACATCTACAATCCATTAAGACAGGGTAGAAGAATATGAAAAATATAATTCCCTCACCAGGATTACTGTGTTAAGATTCTGGTGTTTCCTCTCATAAAGGATGCAGCAGAACTAGGAGGCTGAGATGGAAGAGTGATCGGAGGCATGGGAGTACTTTCAGATGCAGAGGGAGGAAGTGTGACTTTTTTTAGTTTTTAGACAGTTGAATAAATGTCACAAATGGCAACTTTTCAAGACAATGAATGGTACAGAGAAGATAGATCAGGTATCCTTTACTTTTCCTTGTAACAGACCAAGGGATTAAATTGAAAAATGCAAACTTAGGTAAATACTCTTTTAGCCAGCACATAGTTAGTCTGTGGAATTTGCTGCTATTGGTTGTCCATGCCCTCAGTCTCAGTGATTCTAATATAATAAAACCCCTAGTGTGTCTGTCTGTTTGTCTGTCCATAACGCTTTATTCACACTCTGATTGGTTGTCTTGGCAGCCAATCACAATTCTGACTGAAACAACAAATTAGAGTGCTCTGTGCAGACAGACCCCCATGCTGTGCCATGACAGCAGAGACTGAGGGGCTGGAACAGGGGGGCAAAGCCAGCAGCACTGGCCTCGCCCCCTCTTCCCCCAGCCCTGGTCTTTGGAGGCAGCAGCAGCATGGGGTGCTGGCAGTGCAGCACTGGCCTTGCCTCAACTCTGACCTTGCTGTTGCATCCAAGGGGTGGCCATGCCCACCCCCACCGCAGACAGACAGGAGCGGGGGATGGGAGGTGTGGGGGGGTCAGAGGCAGAGCAGCAGCACCGCGGGGTGCTGGGTGGCGGTGCTCTGGCCCTGCCTGCCCCCATTCATTCATGACTGGCAATTTGCTAGTAAATGAATAAATTAGGAAATCAAAAGGTTAGAGACTTCCTATGGAGCAGATGACATGTAATAACTGTGTGTGCTTGCTTTTACCCTGCAGCAAGCAGCAGCTAAACTGTAGTAAGGTTTATCCCTATTTTGCTGAGGTGTAAACTGCTCTGGTTTAGCTTTCATTCACTGCCCAGTAATAGGGTGCTAGCTGCTCCTGCCATCTTTTGACTTCATAATTTGCTTGTTTGTCCATGCCTGAGACCTTAAAAAGATTAAAAAAGGATCAGTGGCCATCCATATGGATAATGAGAACACCCACCGATGTGGCTAAAAGGGATACTTAACCACCCAGGTTCAGCCCTTGCTTTTTAGTATGTTTTTATGATATTTTTCCCTTGTCATTTCCTATAATAAACCTTTCATATTTATTAGTCACCTCTTCCTTGTGTGTTTTTCTAACATGGTGTTTAATGACATGATCTCATGCCATCTCTTTTATGCAGCTCTTTTCTTCCACATTCATTGCATGAGTCCAGCAGTGAACATGGGAGGTTTACATACAAAGTAAATAAGGCCAGAGTTCTTGTATTCAGCCAAAAGGTTGGATGACATATTTTGAGGCAGGAGGATCCTTTGAACATGGAAAATTAAAGTAGAGGAGAGGTGACTCCTTTAATGTGCACTATTCAACTTGGAGACTGAGCTTTAACGGGCATTTTTTGATTTTTTTTGCAAGTTTTTTCATGTGGAATATGAAGTGTTATTTTGGAGTATGGTGGGGGAGGGGATGCAATCCAATACGTTTAATTTGTCTCTGGTCATTTTTAATTGAAACTGGGCAGGTATTAATTCTGCATCTAGTCTAATTAGGAGTTTGTATTTATTTCCAGATCATGGATCAAGCTGCCATGGTTGGAGCTCCAGTGATTGGGCTGAATGACTCTGGAGGAGCCCGTATCCAGGAGGGAGTGGAGTCTTTGGCTGGCTACGCTGATATCTTCTTGGTAAGCAGCCTGTTGGGTGAGCTGGCAGATGCTTTCATCCACAGATGTAAAAAAAGTTCTCTTTTAATTTGGATTTTTTGGTGTAGTTAAACTTCAGCATGCTGTCTTCATTTTCCTTCCTCATATTATAGTCAGTGTTGCCTATTGGAGAGAGCACTAGATTGGGACTTAAAAGGCCTTGATTCTGTTCCCGATTCTTCCTTTGGCTTTGGTCAAGTCATTTCACCTTTCTGTGCATCTGTTTCCCCATCTGTAAAATGGGGATAATAATTCTTATTTCCTTCTTAAAGTACTTGGAGATATATTGATGGAAAATGCTACATGAGATTTATATTTATTATGGGTTCTCTCATAAGGGTAGAGTAAAAGTCAATTTATGGAATGTAAAAATACCAAAAGTATAGCTTCCTAAGTCGCACTGAAGTCTAGACTCCCCTCTATATACTGGGATATACCTGCTTCTCTAAAGGCTGTGTCTCCCTTCTGTTGTGAGGCAGGAAGAATACCCAGTCTCTTAAGGTTTTTGTTCACCGTGTCAGCAGTTCAAGGCACTCTTTAATCATTCTCATGCAGCTGGAGCTGTCCTTACTTCAGGTTTGAAATCTAGGTAGTGAAATGCAAGCTTGGTGTAAGGAGTTGCTTGTTTGAATCCATGACTGCTGGCCAACAATAAGAGCAAAGGGCTGCTGGGAGAAGAATGAAGTGACTCAGGTGTTACCCACTGTTGAAAATATCTGATAAACTCAAATGAGAAGTGCAAAGTGACTCAGTTTGACAGCGTGAGAGAGTATCTCTAGAAAATAAGCCAGTGAAAAGGGGCCAGTGAAAATAAGCACTAGACCCCTACGAAGCTGAAATTACTTTAGATATAATAGGATGTAAAAGATCAGTGCATTACAATGAAAGGTTTCAAAATTCAGATGCAACCCCAGACATGTAAGAACAAAGCCCAAGAGATTCCATTCTGGATGGGTGTGAATGCCACCACCAACTACAAGTTACATTTCTTTTTCTTGTTTGCTAACATAAACAATGGTAGGGGATGCAAGAGCAGCTTTAGTGGAGTTGAACATCTTACAACACTGGAATTCAGAGACTCCTGGGCAGAAAGGCAGAAATCCTGGTGCCAGCATGTAATACCTGACTCAGAGACTGTTCATTTATTTTGAAGCAGTTATGAAAGAGCCATGTACCAGGAAAGCAGAACAGAAAAAATGCAGCAGAACGAATGTCATAGTTGCTCTATTGCAGCTGGGGGATGATGTTGGATTCCAACAGAAAGTGCCTGGTCTCCCACCAAAGTAATAGGTGTCCCATTTATAGCAGGATCACAGATTGTCACCACATGGAGGGTTGTTTCTGTAGGAGGAATAGAAGGTATATAAAACCCAAGGCAGGTGTGGATTCTGTATCTTAAGGACATCCAGAATTCTGCTGACAAATTGCAGAGTCTTGTAGACAAGTGGGAGAGAGTCCAGCAGAGGGCAATGAAAGTGGTTTGGGGGCTGGGGCACATGACTTGTGAGAAGAAGCTGAAGGAACTGATCTTATTTAGTGTGGAAAAGAGACAACTGAGGGGGGATTTAATAGAAGCCTTCAACTCCCTGAAGAGGGTTTGAAAGAGGATGGAGCTGGACTGTTCTCAGTGGTGGCAGATGACAGAACAAGGAGCAATAGTCTCAAGTTGCAGTAAGGGAAGTTTAGGTTAGATATCAGGAAAAAACTTACTCAGTAGGAGGGTGGTGAAGTACTGGAACAGGTTACCTGGAGAGGTTGTAGAATCTCCATCCTTGGAGGTTTTTAAGACCCAGCTAGACAAAGCCTTGGTTGGGGTGATCTTGTTGGGGCTGGTCCTGCTTGAGCAGGGGATTGGACTAGATGTGACCTCCCAATGTCCCTTCCAACCATAAGCAACTGGTAGGGGAGGCACAGGGACGGAAGCATGTGGCCTACTTGACAGGGCCGTCTGCCGCTGCCAGTAGCTTTTGCAGGTGCTCACCAGCTGCACCCCTGCCACCAGAGGCTTCTGCGGGTGCCCACCCCAGACTCAGGAGGCACCAGTCACCCATGCTTCCAACCCTCATTTTCTATGATTCTATGACAAAGGTTCTGACTGGTGGGAAACAGTATTGATGGAGAATGCAAGGTATCACGGTGTGGGGTCCCCAGGCATATCTGTGATGCCCTCGGGGCTCCATGACTGTGCCAGCTCTGCCCAAAGGGAGCCTTCTAATCTCACTTGGAAATGTAATAAGTAGGGAGGCTGCCCATGAGTTTCTGCACTGCCAAGGTCCCGTGGAACCCTTTTAGACCCTTCTGGTCCTTGGGCCCCTTGCCAGGTCCTGCTCTAAGTCGGTTCCTCATGGGACACCTTAAGCCTTATGGGCCAATTGCATGGCTCCAAACCATCTCTATACCACGTCCCATGCCTTGTGGGTGTTATACAACTGTTGTTAACTGTTGGGGCCTCTGCCTACTCAGGCACTGCACCTTTAATTTGGCTAGGCCTTCTAGCCTAGGCCCACTGTGTTGGACCTGGCTTTGAGGCACTAGCTCCACTCCCTCTTTTCCTGTCACTAGACCCTCTGGCCCCTGACTGCTGCACCCCTCTGGTGTTGGGCTTTCCAGCCCCACGACTACTATGTCCCTCTGGTACCAGGCCATCTGGCCCCTTGTGTGCTCTGTGCTTGCACACACCTTCCATTTACAAGCTCTAACTACTTGAGCCCTGAGCTGACTGCTGACGTGGCTCAAGGTGATCGCATGCCTCCTCTGGGCACTAATGAGGCCTTCACACCTCCCCTGACAGCCTCATCCTGAACCACTGGTGCAAATGATAACACAAACATCAGCCCCTAGGCTGTAACATAACAATAATGATAGGGGTCATGCTCTGCCTCTTTAAGAAGGCAAACTTCTCCCCCAGTCTAGCATGCTACTCAGCCCAGGGTACCTTATGAACGCCAGGAGTCTTAGGAGTCCTGCAGGCAGCAGACCAGGCAACCAGACATTTCAGGGCAGCCTTTTCATGCAAGAGAACTAACCCCTGCCAGCCACAGCCCTGGGGCTTGTATGTGCTGAGGTCCCTGCCTCCTTTCCCTCAGCTTACCACATGCAGGTGCTGGCTTATTCCCTCATTAGGCAGCTGCTCAGGCACCCTGGAGCAGTGGAGCTCTGCTGAGCCTGCAGGGCTCTCTGGCAGGCTGCCTCTGCCCTAAAAGGAGCAGGCATGTCTTAGTGACCTGCGACAAGGATTTACCTCGGTGGTAGAGCAGGACTCTTGGGAGGGACCGTTCTGAGAGCAAGCAGCTGCATGACCAGAAGGCCCTGAGGTTAAGAGTGTTGTTGACCATTCAGTTGTTAGTCTTGCTTGATTTTCAAAGGCCATGGAACAGTAGCCACTTGCAGCCAAGTGGATCCTCTTGACTTGGGACTTCTGCAACATGACCAGCCAACAGAGGTTAGGTACTCCTCGATGCTCCTGCAGTGTGTGCATCTTGGAGTGGCTGGGTGCAGCATATCCTGTTTCTTGCTTTTTTCTTCTGTTGTGTTTTTTCCTCTTTTTTCCTCTGAAGATACAGCCTTTCCTTCACTCTTCACGCTTTCCTCTGTCCACTCCAATCATTACACCAGTGGTTCGCAACCTGTTTAGACTCGAGGCAACTCTCCATAACTTGTGCATTGAGGGCATCCCATTCCAAAAAAATAAATTATTATAGTGCTTACTGCTTATCTCTTTGAAGAGGGGCTACGAAGGGGGAGAGGCATTTGGCCTGTGCTACATTGAGTGGAGGTGGCGAGAAGGAGGAACCCCTTATCTTGCTTATCTCCCCTCTCCCTAGGGTACCCTTCAAGGTTGTCATGACACCCCATTGCAAAATCACTGCATTACACCTTTGGTCTAACCAAACTCATCCAGTCTGTTGGGAGACTTGCAAAGGAGAGAAGCCCTACCTTGAAGGGGCTCACATGTTCCACCACAGCAGGTCTCCTCCTCCAGAATACATTTTGAGTTTAGGGCTTTACCTCTCATTTAGAGAAGCGAGAAGCAGGTGTATGAAATGGGATCTGGGGCAGACAGCATTCCAGTGGAGTCCAGCTCTTCTGTCCATTACAAATATTTTCTTTCCACAACTCAACATCCCATGTGTTAAGAGTGTCTGCAAGCAACTGGGGAAACAGGCTTGTCTCTCCTGGTCTGTACTGTTCATTCAGGCATAGAGCTGGCAAAGATACAAACAAGGGGTTAAATTAGCAACCCCTTGGCAAGTATAAAAATGGATTCCTTGCACGGCCTCCCAGTAATTTGCTGTTACTTATTACAGTGTCATATGATAGGTTTGTATTCATGGACTGACCTGATGACGGTTGTCACCTGATCTGTCAAGATAAGCAGTGTTGCAGAAGCAGCTTGCTCTGGTTCTCAGGCTTTGTCTACACCAAGGGTGCTCAGCCCCTGGCCTGAGGGCTAGATTCAGGGGTCCAAAAATTTCACTGCCAAGTTTCTGGACCTCTGTGGGGGAGCCCCATTGGCTGGATAATGTGGCCCTGTGTACTGGATCAGGCATGCAGGGTGGTATAGGGCTCAGTCCAGTGGGTTGGGGTGGCATGAGGTATTTCAGCCAGATGCATGGGGCCTGACTCCAGCTGGTGGGGGCAGCTCAGGACCTGATCTAGCTCGTGGACTGGCCTTGTGCCATACATTTGGCCTGCTGGGTCAGAAGACTGAGCAGTTCTGTCCAGCATTTTCTGCTATTGCTGTTGTGACAGAGCCCCCCAGTGGAGACATGGCATATGGTGAGACAGGGTTTTTTTCTGCTGGTGGAGTTGCACCGCCTTCCTGAATAAGACAACTTAAGTTGACAGAAGACACTCCTGGCAGCCCAGCTGAGTTGACAGCAGGGGTCTGGCTGGCATAACCCAGTTGGCTTTGGGCCGTGATCTTGTTATTCCATCAACTGACTTAGCTAGACTGGCCAAACCTCGCAGTGTGGAAGTGGACATAGTCATTGCTCATTGCACCCATTGCTGCCTAGACAGTGAAGATATTGTCACCTTCTGAGATGTCAGGCTCTGTTGAAGGATTGATGTCAGGATGGTTGTGATGCAGGAGGAAGCAGTCAAAGGCAGGGGCAGGCAACTAGTGACTGCCACAACTCAGACTGGAAGGAAAGGATGATCTTTGTCCAAAACACAGATATGCAGAGCCCATGTGGCAAGAAAGCAGGATTGAGAGAGGGAAAAAAAAACAACTGGTTTTAGCCATTCCTTGCATTGAGAAATTCTTACTGTGTCCTGTTTCTTGTTTTCTTATTGCAAAACTGAGGGAATCTTTTTCTCTTGCCTGGCGCAGGGGATTCTGGTGGAACTTGAACATCAGGCTTGTACATCTTATGGTTTGTAGTTTTCCTTCTTTTACCGTGCAACTTTTCTAAACTTTTGTTGCAGAGGTTTCAGAATCTGGAGGGTTTTGGTATCATGGGATGTCTTCTTCCACTTTTTCTCTTTCAGAGAAATGTTCTGTGCTCGGGGGTAATCCCGCAAATTTCTCTCATCATGGGCCCTTGTGCAGGTGGAGCGGTCTACTCGCCTGCCTTGACGGATTTTACGTTCATGGTGAAGGTAAGGATGTAGCATCTGACCCCTTGTTGGAATCCTTGGCCATTTTATCTAGATTCAGAATTGTGCAAAGGTTTGGATGCAGTTGGCTCTTTGAACATGTGAGGACCCTGATCCTTGATAGAAATACTTTTCTGTCCCTGGGACTCTGTTTCATTCAGCTGTCAGGCCTGTGCTCTGTGCTGCCAGATGCTGTACACATCTTCCGCTAACTAGACATTTCTCCTTCTTTCCTGTAAGCTTGTTTCTTGTTTGTTACTTAACCAGATTTCCTTTTCTGTCTCCCATTTATCAGCTATTTTGCTCTTCACCTTCCACTCTTTTTCCTTGTTGCCAGAGCCTGCTTTCATTCAGTAACAATCCTCTTCACTATTCACCCACACTCAGCTAATAGAGATGCCATTCTTATCTGAGGTATCTATATAATAGCAGCTTCCAGTTTCCCAGTCACTAAAAGCAAGCAGCAGGGTGCACTGCAAAGTCAAAAGGGTGCACTGCAAAGTCAAGTTGGATATCTTTTTAATGTCAAAAGAGTCCTTCCATGACAGGAAAACACCTTGCTTAGTGCTGATCATATTCAGATAACCTTATTAATGAACATGTCTCTTTCAACCTCAGAAATGATCCTTCCTTCTGAAGAATTAAAAATAAAACAAAACACTAGTGTACATCATCAGGACATTAGATATCCATCCACCTTCAGAAATGTCAAATATATTAACTCTAATAGGAAAAGAGGGTTGGAAGTGTTTTTAACTAGCACTATTCTGAATAATTTTCCCAGAATGGCAATTTTCTGTTTGTTTCTTAGACTGGACATCTACTAAATGTCAGTCTTCTCTTCCCCATGTCAAGATGAAGGTCTCCTTGGGTTTAAGGTTCTCCATACCCATAAATGGTTGGGATGCTGAATTTTAAAAAGATTTCCCTCCCCACATGCTTGCATGTGCGTAGGGGGTTATCAGTATCATCACTTGTAAGCAGATTAAATAACAATTATTTCCTTTAGCAGTCATCCCCTGTGGTTCAGTGGTAGATGCCTCATCTGCCACACAGAAGACCTGGGTTTGCTTCCTGGACACTTATACAGCCACGGAGGCACCAAATGGTGGGCTCAGTTTGGCCTTTGGCTTCTGTCTCAGTGGGCTAAAGGCAGGGTTGGAAGGTCTGGGCAGCCTCTGTTCCTCCAGAACTCCTGCCTACGCGTATGCATTAAAGGTCTGGGTGACCTCTCTCACACTGTGATTTGGAAGGACTGACAGTTGCCAAGACCTTTTGCAATCAGCAGCGCAAAAGAAACAAGTCAGGACAGCTTGTCAGAAGTAGTAACTTTAAGAATCTTTATCTACATTATTCGGTAAAAGAGGTTAAGTGTCAGGAACAAACCTCTTGGGACCAAATGGCACTGAAAGCAGAGGACGAGCTGGCTTTTGGCCCTGGTCCTGGTTTTCCAGTTTGATTCTGAAGATCTTGCATCCCTTTTCTTTCTTTTAAGGATGGTTTAATATGGGTTCAGCAAGCTGATATCTCCCTCAGCATAATTCTGTTGTTTTGTGAGGCAGACCGATGCCTACTACTGCTAATAAGGGATCCATTTAGTTCAGTGTAGCTCATTGCTTGAAGCAAGGCCAGGGAAGAAGCATCTGATTGATGGGGTCTGCTGGGGATGGGCTAGGTTAGAAGAGGAGGACAGGGGGAAAAGACACTCCCAAGATTTCCCAAGTGTTTCCAGAAGCAGAATCATGGCCCAGCAGTAGGCTTTGAAGGGAATTGTGTAATGAGAATTGATAGCATGTAACATCACAAGTAATTGAAACAGATTAGGAAAAAAAACAACAAATCCCTCCAGTTTATTTCATATATTTGTCAGCAGCAGTTTGCCTATGGAGGAGATGCACAGAAACCAACTATAACATCTTCTCCCCCACCCCAAGTGAGGCAGTTCTATCCAGCCTAAGCCACTTTGTGGCTTGGGTAATAAAAGTAGGTGTTTTAAGCCAACCTTGTTTTATTGATGTCTTCAAGCCTGATGCTGACAAGACCTTGTTTAGCTTTGGTTGGTAGCAGAAATAATTATACTGTGACTATAGTAGTCCATTAACCAGAATGCCAGAACTTGAGAGGCCCAGGAGTACCTCACTGCTCAGGCTAGACTCACTTTTCACTTAAAGCCTGGGTTTGATCTCTCTTTTTTTTTTTGCCCCCTGTGAAGAATCCACAGTATCCTCCCCAGATTTACTCAGGATTTTTAACTGTTGTTGCAACTTTAAATTCACATTCAGTCACCTCTCATTTCAGGACACGTCCTACCTGTTCATTACAGGCCCTGATGTAGTCAAGTCAGTTACAAATGAAGATGTCACTCAGGAGCAGCTTGGGGGTGCAAAGACACACACTGCTGTGTCAGGTGGGAGCTCTGTTTTTTCACTTAAAGTATTATTCAGTCTGGAGGAATGGATCAAGTAGCAGCTCCAGTGAGTGGTATTAAAACTGCTTTTTTCCCCCTCATGGTGGGCCAAGGGCTTCTATGAGAAATTCCTTGGTGAAGGTTATAGGTTTTGTGTATTGAGTGTTGTGTTCTGGATAACAAATAGTTATTTTTTATGCTCTGTAGCCTATCCACCAAGGAACAACTAGTGGGTATGTCATAGAGATTTCCTCCACAGTTGAGGAAGAATTAGTATGTATTTTTTAAAGCCTTTTAAACAATTTTAACACAATGCTATAGAATGTTTTACTAAGTCACCATAGCAAACCTGTAGGTGAGGTTGCTATCTCTTTCTAGCATCTGATTTTTCACTTGAATCTGATGCCTCTCTTTCCTTACCACCAACCCAGAGAAAATCATTGCAAGTCTGTTTCCCTGGAAAAATCTTACTGAGCACTGTAGGATTCCTGGTGGGTTGTTTAATGAGTCATATTCATGGACTGCCACAGGAATACACAGGCTGCCCTATCTCCAGTGCAAGATCCCGAACACTAGATGGTGTGGAGGTCAGAGGAATTGACAAAGTAGAGACAGCTGCAGCTTGCACTGTGCAAAGTAGCCCACTGACATCTTCTCTTACTGCTGAGCTGCCAGGGGCTAATGCACCTTTGAAGGAAGATACTATAGGAGTACATCCTCATGGGAATACCCCTTGCCACACTTGATCTTCTTATGCAGTAGCTTGATCTCTTCAGGTTCAAATGTATATGTGGGGGTGTTTAATTCCAGTTCTCATCAGGTTCCTGGTTGGAACCTTGAATCCTGCTGCTAGTGGTTCAGGCCAAACCAAAATGCTTATGGAAGCCACCCAGGAAATGTTATAAGTTCACTGTCCCTAGTATGGAATTTCTCTAGTGGTAAAGGACATGAGGATCCCCAGGAAACTTCCACTGAGACTTTGCCATCTAGAGTAAAGAAAATGCCTGGCGTTCATAAATTATAGATGGTGGCACATATTTTGCATCTGCTTTACTTGGGCAGAACTGTAGCAAACAATTGCTGTATCAAGGCAACACCCAGCTTGGGTCAAAAAACATTGATTCCCTTGCAAGATAGCTCTTTGCTTTATGCAAAAACTTGGGTAGCAAATTTAAGAGAACAAATAAAGTGAGGAGCATCATTGGCTGCATAGCAGAGGAAATACTACCATCTTCCATACAGTCTATGACAAACACTAGGCCTCTGTTACAGTGAGCTGGCAGAGAGTCCAGCTTATTCCCAATGGTTATGTCAAGTCTAATTGTGACAGGGGGCCGTCTCAAGGCCAGTCACAATGTCAGCCCACCCACCTGCCTAGGGCATTCTGCCTTGATTTGCCTGCCATGCTTTGATATACTCAAATAAACTGATGGAAAATTGTGGGAGGCTGCCCATTTAATGCCCTGATGCCAAGGGCATAATACATAGCTCCAACCTCCCCTTTGCCATGTCCCATGCCTTCCAGATGGCATCCAATTCCACTGTTACTCCCCCAGCTCCTTAACTGGGCTGCACTCAGCCTATGTCCCAACTTGGCCTCAAATGTCCTTAGACGTGCCTGGGCCTCCTACCCCTACACTGGGGCCTTAACTCCTTCTACTCCAGGTCAGCCCATATGCACTTCTTCAGGCCCCTTAGACCCCACTCTACATGGCTGCCAGCTCCTACTTCACCCCCTCACTGGGGCTTCTGGGCCTTATGCCCCTCAGGCATCAGGAGTCTGTTGACCTACCTGGGCCCCCAACTCAGCCTACGGCCCACTCAGGCCTCAGGGGTCTGTTGACATGCCTCAGGCCCCACTCGTTAGGCCTGGGCCCTGTGTTTTCTGTTGGGGTGTGCTCCCATAGCCTTCTCCTCTACAAGGTACTCACAAGGCAGCAGGGGCTGAGGCTTTCCAGCACCCCATAATCGCCTTTTCCTGGGGAGGCATAGGTGTGGCATTTTCTGGAGTCTGCCCTGCTACAAGCAGCCCCACCACCCCATCCTCCCCAGCAGGGTGTAGTTTTAGGTCATATCCTAGGACCAGGAGCTGCCTCCATCCCCATAGTTCCTACCCTTGATCTCCAGGTGTTCTGGGAGTAGCAGTACTCCAGCCAGGAGATGCTGTTCCTTCAGCTCCTTGCAGCAACTCCTGGCTCTACTGCTCAGGGCCTTCTCTTATTCTCCAGCAACCAGAGCTCCTCCAACCAGGCAGCCTCCTGATGGCCATGTGACCCTGCCTAATTGGCACTGCAGTCACCTGCAGGCTGCTCTGCTGCCTGCTTAAGCCCTTAAAATGGCAGGCATCAAAGGTGCCTTGCCACACTTATATGTGGAGTTAAGCAGCAAGATGGCAGGTTATTAAGTATCCCCCATAAGGCTCTATTGATATCCATGTGGTTGTGAACACCATGGTGATGGTAATCTGTGCTTTGCAGGTGCCACTTTGGGTGATGTAACGGAAAAGCTCCTTACACCTAACAGGTGGGGATCAACATGTACTTGATGAAACCAGGTGGGGCACTTTCAAATAACTATGTTGTTTTGCTATTTCCCTGCAGGGGTTGCACACAGGGCCTTTGAGAATGACATTGATGCTTTGCTTAATCTCCGGGAATTCTTTAATTACTTGCCTCTCAGTAACCGTGATCCAGCCCCTGTCTGTGAATGTCATGATCCCAGGTAATTGCGGGGTGGTTTGTTTGGGTGGATGCTGGTGGTTGTTATCAGTATAATTTCATTGGTGTTCTGGCAGAGGGAATGTAAAGGAAAAACTATCCTGTAGCTATTAGCTTTTGCCTTCTTTCCTGATGACTTTATAGACTCATAGGTCTAGCCCAGTCTATCTCTTCCAACATGCTTATGTGTATAAGTCCTTTCTTGTCACGTACATATTACTACTGCCTAAGGCCACCAGTCTATGGTAATACAAATTGATGCCAGGGATGGGAACACAACCAGGTGAAGAGCTGGCACTGCTTCATTAATGGAGGGGCTGTAGGGTTGGTTTTATTAATTGGGGTTAGCAGTAGGGAGGAGGTGCATCGTTAGAGCTCGCATGCAGCTTGCATTCAGTGTGGCAATGAAGGGGAAACAGGGGAGGGACTTGGTGTTGGGTGGCTTGCTCAGAGCCTAGATTAGAAGATGGTTTTAGCAGTGCATATAGTTTATGATAAATAGCTCAATAAAACTGTGCTTCATAGTGGACTATATAAGTCTGTAGGGAGGCTGCCTTCCTGCCAGAGAGCGCTGGAAATCTTTCTTGGATATTGGTGGCTCTTACCACTCTTGTAATGCTCTAGAGGCCAGACCTGTGGCTGGGGGAGGAAAGGATGCATGTGTAACTCTGTGATTTCACTGGTTCTGTACTGGTCTTCTCCTCGACCCTTGGGACTTTCAAACAAGATTTTGCAGCCTATCTATTCAGGGATTATGAGCAATTTTCTAATCATTATCACAAGGATTATTACAGGACTGACCGTAATAAAAATTAATTTGCCAATTGCTAGTTAAAGAATCATACTGCTTTTTGCAGAACAGGGTAATATTAAGATAGTCCTTTCACCTCCCAGATTATGTTCTTTGACTCATTAAAATATTCAGAAACAATCCTGTCTTTACAGATATTTACAAATCAGGGAGAAGCTGTTATAACTTCAGTGTTTGATTGCAGTGCTTGATACATAAATCTTGACATAAATCTTCATGGTCATTGTGTTCTGCGTGAACATTGAACACACAGTACCCAAATACCCAAGTGTCTGGCCTTTACTGTAGTTAAATTGGTTAAATTCCTTTTTTCCATAGCAAAAGCATCCCATAGATTTTAAACAGTTCCTCTTATGGTGGGCAGTTTCTTTTCCCTTGAGAAGCTGCCAGTTGTCTTGCAGTTGTTAAAGATTTACTGTCTCATCTGTTATTTTCTTGAGTTGGGACCATTTCCTTTAGCAAGCTCCAGAAGATTACCAAGGGCTTGCTTGCTATATAAGAACTGTCCAAGAACTTACAGTAAGTTATGAAATGCCCTCTGTCCTTTTGAATTTTGAATTTGTGAACATATGTCTATCATATGTGCATATAATCCCTTTTTATCACCCTGTTCCCATAATTTCTTCCTGTCTCCTTTTTTCTGATCCTTTAATGCTGCTTCAATAGGCATTTGCACCAGCATCTTAAAATAAACTTTCTTATTGTGCTGGGAATCAGGAAATTTGGTCCATTCTTCCCAAATTAAAGACTATTTTCATTTGTGGTAGCTTGTCTATATCCTTTTCTTGTATACCAGCTGTGGTATTTGCCTGTGTAATAGCGGGGGAGGTCCCTGGGCACCCAAAGAGATTGATATCCGCCCCCCCCGGTTTAGGGCAGTCTACCCTGCTTTCTTCTGCCACACCTTTGATGTCAAATGAATTGATGTAAGAATGTGGGAGGCTGCTCATTTAAGGCCTGCTGTACTGGGCCAATCACATGGCTCCAAACTGTCTTATGCTGTGTCCCATGCCTCACAGATGGAATCCAGTTTTCCTTATTATGCTGCCAGCCCCTTAGTGGGCTCCATTTGGCCTCTGGCCCACGCAGGCCCCTCTTGGTGGACCTTGACCCCTCACTGGACCACTCCCCTGGCCCCCTTCACTGGGGCACACACTCACTCCATCCCTTCAGTGGGGCGCACACTCACACTCCGGGCCTTTTGCCCCTTGGGTCTCAGGTTCCACTCAGTGGACCTTGACCCCAAGCCTTTCGCCTCTACGAGGTACCCACAAGGCAGTGGGGGCTGAGGCTTTACGGCACCTCATCCTTGCCTTTCAATGGCAAAGCACAGGCATGGCATTTTCTGGGGGTTGCCCCACCACAGGCAGTCCCACCACCCTATCCAGCCCCAGCAGGGTGCAGTTTCAGGTCTTACCCAGGACCAGAAGGAACCTCCTCCATCCCCATAGTTCCTATCCTAACCCCCAGGTGTTCTAGGAGCTGTGATTTTTTGGCTGGGAGATGTTGCTCCTCCAGCTCCCCAGGTGTAACTGTCGGCTCTGTTCACAGGGTCTGGGTTTATACTCTCCCTGCCCAGTCCTCCTCCAATCAGGCAACCTCCTGTGGTCAGGTGGCTACCTAATTGGGCCTGAACCCAACAGGCAGGCTGCTCCACAGCCTGCCTGATGTTCTTAAAGTGGCAAGCACACTATACTGCCACACCCTGTCTTGAAAGTTGTCAGTACACATTGGTGTAAATGGAAAGATTTTTTCCCCTATTTTCTGTTATTCCAGAAGCCATTGTTTGTACTGGTACTGGTGTCCTGTTTCTATATGTTCAGATTATGCAGGACTCAATCTTGTTTTCTTTCAGGTCAAGTGACAACACTCCCCTGAGTCATGGCTGTAGCGCCTAAGTTGAAAGGCCTTGTCCGATGGGAGAGAGGGACAATTTGTTTAAACATTTGTAAACTTTTTATTAAACACTTGGCTAACTGTGACTATCCTGAGTCTCTTCAATGTTCAACTTCAGTGTTGACTGTTAGTGGCTAGTTGGTAAAGTCCATAGCGAATAAATATGGTTCTACCTAAAGCCTATACAGATTTGCCTTGGGGTATAAGTTTTGGTTTAGGGTAATTTTCTGGTTCATTTAAAACTTAGATTTATCTGGATTAGGGTGCCTCAATCTGCTATAGCTGGCTGACATGACAGTACTATATAATATTTAAGAGAGCAGGTCCATCCTGCCTTAGTACTGTATGTGTATATAGTAGCTGCATCTACTCTCAGCTTGCTTGTACTCCAAGTTAATTCTAACTGCACGTTCTGTGTCTGTGTACCTGCTGGAGTTTTATCTAGGATGATTTGAAGAAGATTTTGAAGCAAGATCAGTCTCCTGGGGGAAAAGTTAATTTTGCTGGGGACTGTTTTCCTTGACAAAAGGCGGGATAAAATTTCCTGGCACTCTATCCTGCTTAACTTGATGGAGGTCTGGTTTGACATTTCCATTTTCATAGCTCTTCTGGGTTATGTGAAATCTGAATTCCCATTGAATTTGTTGCCCATTTTATATCTAAACAGTTTATAGACAATTGATGTCTGTGAGGTTGTTAAATGTACATCTTATCTATGGGTTTAGTATGATATTTAGCCAGTCAGTTGCTTTCCTTCAATTAAGCACTTCTTTAGCTAATAATATGCAAACACTTGGATGTCACTTAGAGACATTGAACTGTGCGTGTGTGGTGTTCCTGTCAGTTTTATTCCATTAATAAGTTAATTATTCCGTTAGTCAATTAATAAATCTTTTACCTTTTTACAAAATGTGTGGCCAAGGGGAAAAGCAAAGGAGATGGTGACATGTCTGTATAACCAGAGACCTTAGTACATAGACTTGTGTAGCTGTTTTGGGGCTGAGCTAACTAACAGCAGTTCACTTATGTATTTCAATTTAAATAGGTTGCCTAGAGCTGTAAATCGACACAATTAACACTACAACCAAGTCCCAACAGCATTACAGTAATTATTCAATGGGAACTCTGCCAGCCAATGGCCAAATGGGATAGAACAATAAAAATCCCCACTCAGAAGCTGTTTCAGTGCTGAGGGATAAGAGGCATAACAAAATAATTACTTCTGGTCTCAGTCTTGCAGTGTGAATGATTCCAGGCAATCCAAGAACACTAGATTTACTCAGATCCACGATGACATAGAATTATGACACCACGCCCCCCCCTCCCCAGCGCCCCTGTTATTAGATTTTATACACGGAAAATTATATATGTTGGTTATAATTTTCCATGTCTAGAATCTAATTATTGGACAGTCATCTTAAATTCATCCCCCCCTACCATTGCAGGGGGGGAAAGCAGTGGCAGAACAGCATGCAACCTGACCCCCCATCCCTCCCTTAGTACCTGTCCCCCCCTCCCATCACTTGTCCCTCTCTGGTGCCTGTTCTCTGCCCCCTCCACCAGTGCCAGCATCCCCTACTATGTGCCCCCTCTGCTGTCTGTCCTCCCTGCCACTTGGTGCCGCTTACTCTGTGTACAGCTGCTTTTGCTCTGTCTCTGTCTGGGACATGGAGCCAGTAGCAGAAGCCCTGGCCCCAGCAACACCAGAGCAGGTGAGGAGCATCGGGGAAAGGACATGGGGTAGGTGGCAGCTCTGGATCTAACTGGGGAGAGAAAAATGAAAAGACTTGAAATAACAAAGCTGTCCTGCTGCTCCTTGTTCCCTGCTTTGCCAGCCAGACTGTTTTCTGCTCTTCCACCTCTGTAGCTCCTCTGGGTACCAGCCAACTCTTGCCGTGCAACCTACAGGGGGCAGAAGCACCATGTGTGCTGCTGCATTTTCTCTTCCTGCCTCACATTTTCTCTTCTCTGTTCTTCTGTGTCCTGATGCATGAGCAACTGGGGCAGGAAGATGCTGACAGCCTGGTGGTAGTTCTCCATGCAGCCCCAGATGGGATGAATTATAGGTGCAGATTTTCTTGTGGCAATGATTTTGATTTTGTGAATGCTCATGTTGTTTTTCCTTTGCATTGGATTTATCTGAAGCTACCGCTTGGTTCCCGAGTTGGATACTATTGTCCCAATGGAATCTACAAAAGCATATGACATGCTGGACATCATACATGCGGTAAGCCCTCTCTTTAAGTGCTGGCTTCTTCTTTTTTTTTTTTTTTTAAAAGAGTTATCAGTGTGACAAATTAATATTAAATGGCTCCGAGTGGTGGAAGCGAAAAAACAGAAAGCCACAGGAGATGGACTTTCAATGCACTCTGTTGTCAGGACAGCTGTTTGGATAATTCTTTCCCTTGCATTTGGTGAGCCTAAGGCCAGAGGTACTAGAAACAGTAAAAATAAGGGAGCTGGTGTTTGAAAAGGGTTTTATGATTTGTCTTTGAGGAGTTATTTTTCACTTACATGCCCAGCATGTGACTGTGGAAAGACAGTATTATTCTTTTTTTAAGTGTTATGAGAAAACCAAAATACTGTAGATTTTCGACCCTCGTTATTACTATACTCTTTTAAATAATGCTGTATGTTGGACTGTTTTTTCTTAAACAGAGAAAACCTTTACTTTGGAATTCAGATCCATTCATAGAAACCCTTGGATTTTTGCCATCTAATTACTTGCAGTGAATATCACTATATATATTATATATATGTTTATATTATATACGTAGATTACTATTTATTAAAAGTAATAGTATTCAGCTTGTTATGTCAAGCACTCAGAACTTTGGACAGTCCAAAATTAAGATTGGATGGGACAAGGCAAGTGTCCTGTGATAAAGATAACACATATTTAAGCAGAAGGCATGGGCACCAGGGCCTGCTTTAAAATGATGCCTACTCTGCCTCCTCCCCTTTAATATAGATGGGCCTCTTAGCCTAGACCCACTGTGTTGGGCCCCACTTTGAAGCACCAGCTCTCAATCTTCTGTTGTCACCAAACCACTGGTCATTGTCTGCTGCGCTCCTCTGGTGCTGGGGCTCTACACAATTAGGTGCCCCCCTCTGGCCACTAATGAGGCCTCCTTCTTCCCTTATAGCCTCATCCCAAAACTACTGGTACAAACATAGCAACATGACCATAATCAAAAGAGACCATGTTGTACCCCTTCAAGAAGGTAAACTTCTCCCCTTTGTACAGTGCATCTCCTAGCCCTGGCTACCTTATGGGCTCCTGGAGACTTACTGCGCTTGGAAGTGGCAAAGCAGGCAGCCAGATGTATCAGGCAGCTCTCTTGTACAGGAGCTCCTCCTGGCAGTTTCCAGAGAATGAACCCTGCCAGGCCCAGCCCTGTTCTTATTTGTACCCAGGGCTCTGTCTCCTTCTGGTCAGCTGACCGCCTGCAAGTGCCAGCTAATTACCTTATTAGCCTGTTACTCAGGCAACCTGCAGCTGTGGAGCTCTTGCAGGGCTTCCTTGCTAGGCTGCTTCTGCCCTTAAAGGTGTAGGCACAACTTGGTGCCCTGCGACCTATGGGAATGCAAGCAATTCCCTGAAGGTAATGATGAGGTTTGAACTCATCACTTTTGAGATAGTTGTGCAGGGTTTTTACCACTGTATTCACTGTCAGCAGTAGAATGTCGTTATCCTCTTTGAAAAGTGACAGTCTTGAAGCAGTGAATTACTTATATAGGAATAGGTCTGTTTTAAAAGGCAGCATTCCTTGGCATGCAGATTTTCTGAGGCAGTGCAACAAAGGGAATACTCATTAGCTCTACTGTGTTAGTTCCCTGTTGTGACACAAGTTACCCTATCAGACTTCTGGAGTTCCTGCAAAATAGGTGGGAAGGCTGATACTTGCTGGCCTGATAAAGCACTGTTGTGTGCATGGAGCTGTCAGTATTGGTCTGTGAAAGAGAGGAGACTGTACAACTCATAGCCTGCTGGTTCCTAGCTCACTGCGAATCTAAGCCCCAAGTCAAATAGTATTTTGATGTTGGAAAAGCAGTAGCAGCTAAATGTTTGCTGTCTATTATATGGAGTTTCAGTTGTCTGTGGCAGTTTTTAGAATAATCCAGGAGGCTGAGTGGGGTCTGGGAGCATGTGAAGTGGGGATAGATGGTCTGAATATTAAGAAACAAGCCGTTTCACATTCTGCTGCCTTTGTATAAATGGTGATTATTCCACAGCTGATAACTTGGTCATGTCTGGATTAATTTCCAACGGGTTAGAACAGGGCTGGACACTGCTATATCCTAGTGCCTGCTTTAAAATAGATGAGATTTAAAAAAAAAAAAAAAAAAGGCAAGAGTTGGAAGTAAAAGTCCCACTGGTTTTCAGTAGTGCTTGTGCTTTTCCAAATCCCGCTCTGAGGCACAAGAGCTGTTCAAAATGCTCTTGAGATGTTTTTGTTGTCTTTCCCATTTCTTGTTGAGCCATTTCTGAGAGCAGGTTTTACTTTCAGGCCAAGTTCTTAGGCAGTGACTACAGATAGAAAATTTCAGCCTGAATGATTGTAATATAGTGTTGTTTTAGGCAGCTGAAAACGGAGTTACAATGGAAAGTGTTAGGCATCCATGATACATTTGTCCATACTGCTTTATCTATTATTATGGGTCTTCATGAAACATAAATTTTGGTTACTGCTTTACATGGCTGTGGATGGGGCTTTACAGCATGCATAGAAAAAACAATGGTAGAGGTATGGGCTGTGTTAAGGAACGTACAGTCAAGTGGGACACAGACTACTGATTGTGTGTTCCCTATATGCAGAAGGGTGTTTGTGCCCGAAAACTAGAAAAGAATAATTTTCTCAACAATTTAGTTGGTCTAATAAAAGGCATCACATTTACCCAAAGAACCTTGTCTGCTATGGCCTTAGACCAACACAGCTACAACTAACACTCCCTGCATGCAGATACTGTTAAGCCCAACTCTAGTCTGTGTCTTGTGTAACCCCAGTGACTTCAGTGGGGTTACACAGATCGTCTGGTCAAGTGAACCACCATGAAGGACCTTGTTAGTAATATGAGAGAGTTTTTTTTAAAGAACTGCAACTTGCTAAAGATGTATGGAAAAATCAGTACTTTGGAGGGGGAGGAATCTGGAAGTCAACTTTTTTTTTAACATGCACTCTTCATACACTGGGAACAGCTTTGGTCTTGTGGCAGGCTCAGGCAACACTCCTGATGAGATGCGTTTGGAAGTAAATATAGTATCACATACACACTGACAAACAGACTGGAAAGAAGAGGAAACGATTTATTTGCAAAATCTCCTGTTGTGGAAGCAATATATATATTTTTTTCCACTGTGTAACAGATATAATTGCAGCTGACCACACCAACCTGTCTCTCTTCACACAGCTTCTTGTTAACTTTTGTTCTTCCAGACTGTTGATGAGAGGGAATTCTTTGAGATCATGCCTTCCTATGCCAGAAACATAGTGGTTGGATTTGCCAGGATGAATGGAAGAACCATTGGAATTGTGGGCAATCAGCCCAAAGTTGCATCAGGTAAGAGCTGGCTTCAAGCTCCAAATCTCTCTGATTCAGGGGTGTTTGCAAGCTGCCTCCTGTTTGTATTTTCTCATTACACGCACTGCGAGAGTGTTTTTCACAAGGAGAGGAGGTGTATTTTGGGTCTCCTTTTAATTTTTTCCCCCCAGGTTTACAGTGCAGCATCACAAGGTGGAACCAGTAGGTTTTATCCTTATATATTAATGAGCTAACAATGAGGTGAGCAGAAATGTCAAGAGATTGCAGGTGATAAAATTCTGTTGGTTTTTAAGGAGTGGAGAAATCCATGGAGAACTTAAGTCAGACTATGGAAAACTAGAATAATGGGTGCAAAGTGGTAGGGAAAATTCTAATATAAGATAACACATGTTGCCTGGAGTGACTTTTGTTGCTTGCAACTGGGTCTTGCTCCGGACAGAAAGCCTGTGCCTCTTTTTGGTCAGCTCACTAAGAACCTCTTCTTGATGTGCATTTGTGGTCAGAAAACCAAGGAACGCTGGGATGCGTAATAAATGAGAGAGAATAATAGTGAACATATAAATCCATGCTGCCACATCACTTGGGACACTTCAGTTTTAGCTAAGAAAGCTGAAGCAGAAGCAGAAGGGGGCTCATGAAGTTGGTGAGAATGATTTGAGGCCTGGCAGAACTGGTACCCAAGGACTGAATGCAATGATACAGACCTTTATTTAGGTGAATCTGCAGGGACATGGTAAAAACAGATACACCAATGCTCACAGATCAGGCACCTTTTCTCACAGAATACAAACAAGACAGCAGTCTGTGAAATTATAACCCAGCATAGTGTATGTTGATGAATAAAATACTTTATGCATAATATGCGATTTCTGCTGCATCTGAATACCTATATGAACTTAAATTAAGCACCTAAAACCCAGGCATTTTATGGGTATTATGAAATCCACATTTACAGCAAAAAGGATATTTAAAAAAAGAAGAAAAAAGATAGAGGAGAGAGAAAGCTCTTGTGTTCTGGGAAACAATGCTCTGAACCATGTGGATCATTCCTTATTTCCATCTTTCAGCTTTTGAAACGACTAGTACTGGACAACTAGCAGCTATATCCTCATCAACCCCTCTTCTGAGCCACATGGGAATTCCCACATATGCTTTGTTCATGTGTTAACTTGAACTATCTCCACGACTTGTTATATTTTGGTCAAATTAGACCTTCCTGTGTGGAGATGGCTCATTTCCCCCTGGCTACTTTAATCAAATACATATTCTTGGCAAGGTAATTTGCTGACTATTAATGAATCACGAGATAATTAATGGGTTTCACTGTTTCTTTGATATTTTAAATTATACTAAAGATGTCTGTAGCTTAAGGTAGGCTCTTTTGTATCAGTCTTATAGAGGTTTAATATACTAAAATGCAATGCAGTTTTGGGGACTGAAATAGAGAAATGTATTGCAATATTTTAACTGAGAATGCTGATTATACAACTTTGCATTGATTTGCAGAATGTTTTTATACTGTGTTGGAGTGATGCCTGTATGGTGTTTCATTTTGCACTTACCCGTTTATAATTTTCTCTTCATCGGGTTTATATATATATAGGTATATATGCATATATATAAAAAAATTAAAGTGGCATATGGGATCTCTGTGTCAGGAACTTTTCTCCCCCTCTTCCCCCCTCAAAGCAGCAATCAATCTTGGGGGGGATTCTAGGTAGCAGTGCAGTAAAAAGAAATGATGATATGAAATGAATGCATATAAAGTATGTCACTCTTAGGCTGAAATACTGCTACCTTGTAACAGTCATATAATGGGATATATTATGACATTTTAAGAAGGGCCTGTGTCCCACTACTTTTCAGTGGGTCGTAAATACCTGCGTCAGTCAGAGGCTTTTGAAAATTGTACTTATATGTGATCTTGATTTTCTCCCCCCTTGTTTACAAGTGAAGTGGGGGATACCATCAAACAAAGAGAGCAGCTAGAACTGAAACTGTTCTGTTCTCAGTATTGCTCCCTCGATGAAGTACAATGGAGATATAATATGTTCTATTTTCTGTACTGCCCTGAATGCTGTATTTGAAGTCTAGAATGGCAATATTAGAAATGAGCTGTTTAAAACTGTAAAATGTCCTGCTCTGTTTTCTCAATGTCAGGGTGCTTAGACATAAATTCCTCTGTGAAAGGAGCTCGTTTTGTCCGGTTCTGCGATGCCTTCAACATTCCTCTGATCACTTTTGTGGACGTCCCAGGATTTCTGCCAGGTAGGTCCTTGCTGAGATGTAACTGCCTGACTGGAGTGGAGCTTTAAATGTAGCTAGTTTGGGTACTTCTAGCAGTAGATCTGTGAGAGCTGGGAGCTGTGCGTGTAGTAAAACCTGCCTTGAGAAGCAAGGTAAGCATCAGGGCTGAGAGCCTATGCTGAGCTCTGTATTACCCAGTCCTGAGCTAGTTGCTTTGCCAATCCTGTCTGGTACCAGAGCCATTGCAAAGACTCAGGGCCTGGCTGGCTCTTTGCCAACTCTCTACAAATCCTGCTGAGGCTGTGGATGAAGCAGAAGCTGGTTGTACTTCACTTCTTGTGTGTTTTCCTTGTTACTTGGAGGCTCTAAGCACCGCCCACAGGCTCAGCTGTAGCGGTTTTTCCGTGTGTGCTGCCAGGGCAGCATGGAGCTGCATCATCCCATGAGGAAGCCCAGCAAGGATTGTGCCTCAAGGAGGGACAGTGGAGAGCAAATTCATGGCACCATGCTGTATGCTAGTGGGGCAGTTCATTTTCCTCCCCTCTCTTGGGGGTGACCGATGCCTTAATGAGTAGTTGGGTTGTAAATTCCTACTTGTAGATCTGGTCAGAGCACCCGCTCTGTGTACTTACATCTCTGCTCAGCATTAGAGCTCTGACCCAAGGATTGGCCTGCCTTGCCAAATGATTACTGGCTAAAGGTTGCTTTTGTAGAGTGCCTGGTAGTGCTGCAGCAACCACAATTATGGCCTAGGAGAAGCTGTCTCCCTCTGCAGTTGTCTTGGTCTTCTGCTGGATTTGATGGGAAAAAAAGGAATCCTCTGATGCTGTCATTTTACAAACATTGAAGCCTTCAGATGCCATTCCTTCACGAGGGCGTGGGTGACCTTATGCAGCAGACATAAGTCGACAGCCTTCTTGGAAGTTTAAGGTCAGAGTGTCCTTACAAGTTTGAACGTACATAGTGGCTATAAGGTTGGCTAGGTGGACTCTCACTGGGCATCTAATTTGCATTGTTCCACAGACACATCCTGAAGACCTTCTTTGCTCAACTTCAAGCAGCACCCTATCCGCACATCAGAATTCTTGCTGTAGGTGCCCAGGATCCCAAGAAGGGGATGCACTGTCAGTTTGCACTGAGCTTTACAAATATACAGAGCTTGAAATTACATGAAGTCTAGAGCCATTTTCTTGCTTGTTCCATTTGGGGTGGAAAGCTAAGGTTTCCACATCTCTTGTTGCTAGATGTCAGAAGCTGTTTATAGTAGGGTTTACTAAGACCCTGAAATTGGTTCTTGTGAAAAACGGAAACTTTTGTTGTATTGGTCCAAGCAGAAAGAATCCACTCCAGTAGAAGCAATCAGCAAAGTACTTACATGATCTAGTATTTGCTTCACAAAATCCTACGAGTGTGGCATTGGCTTCATTCATCAAGGAAGCAGCCTTTGCCATCCCAAGGTGGACATTGGCAAAACTGGTATAAGTGTGCTGAAGATTAGTCCTGCCTTGCGGCTTTGTTCCATCTGCCTGGCTTGTCTCATAGGAGATGGCTTACCTTCCCTCTGGAACTGTTCCATACGTTATCTTTGGGAATGCAAGCTGCAAACCCCTGGGCCAGCAGGAACAGATGCACCAGGAGCTTCTCTTGCTGGAAGAGACTGGTGGTGGTGGTTGTGTCGCAACCGTCTGGCTTGTGGGCTGGATGCTTGGCAAGGGGCCAGCGTGTGAGCTGGATTCTGTGCATGGAGTCAGCCTGGGGGCCTGATCCAGTTTGGGGGCAGCATCTGGGTTTGCTCCCCTTTTGACTGCTTTATGTTGGAGAGAAATAGTTAAGTACTTACTGATGCTTTGTCCTGGCCACCAGACCTCACCAGACTTTGCTCAAAGTAATGGCCCTTGGGAGCTCAGTGCTTATTGTCAGAGGTGGCCGGAGAGATTTCTTGCTGCTGTTGTTTGCAGTGGTTCCCTTGTGTAGTTTCACACCTCTGCCACAGGGGCCATGAGTAATAGCTTGGATCTGCCTTGAGTATGAGGTGAAAAATGTGTTCTCAGAAGAGTGTTTCCAGAGAGATGAGCATTGGGTAGATTTTTCTCTGAATGTGCGTGGGGATCTCTCAGTGTTTCTGAAGCTGTATTTGTAACTATGCAGGAACCATTTGGCAGTATGGGCTGGCCTGATGGTGTGTACCTGCCATAACCTGGGCTATATTTGTTCCAGCTCTCAATGTGAGCTTTCCTCACAACATGGCTCAGCATGAAGGTGTGGAGAAGCTGGACTGTAATCACCAACCTATCCACCACAGTTGAGGGGGCTGCTTTGAGTAGTGCTTACTGGCCTTGCAAACAGCCATCTGCACGAAGGGAACTTTTTGGTAACTTTCCTGAAAAGTTTTTTTTTTTTTTTTTTTTCTTTTGATTCATGTAATGTTTAGGTACGGCCCAGGAGTATGGTGGAATCATACGTCATGGGGCAAAACTCCTCTTTGCCTTTGCAGAAGCAACTGTGCCCAAAATCACGATAATCACCAGAAAGGTAAGGTGACTTGATTCCTGGGAGAGAGCTGAGGCCTCCTCTTTTGGTCAGAAGTGTTCAAAAGAGACTTGTTTCTCAGGGCCTGGCTGCTGTTGCTTCCCCCATCATCCTCAACACCTCCTTTTATCCTTTCTGATTTTCTTTTTCATCTTTCAAGTGTGTTTGTATCTCTGCATGTTGTTTCCTGCTGCCTTCTCTTCCTGGTCAGATGTCTGCCTTCTTTGCTACTTCATATTTTTTCCCTGGGGGCAGAGATTGCTGCACCCTGGGCAAATCCAGTGTTTACATGGTTTGATCTGCTTGCCATGTCAAGACAGTTGAACTGTTGTGTTCTCCCTATTGGGTGTGGGTATCCAAGCAACTTGCTGCAGGGCATAGGGAGGTTGGACTAATGTGCCAACTCCTTCACAGTAACTTCCCATATGCATGCTCTTCCTTGATTGGCAAGTGGAAGCTAAATCACAGTGGTATAACTGTGGATAAAGGGGGTAACTTCTGTAATTCAACTTCCTTACTGAGAGAAGAGCACGACTGTCTGGGTGAGGCAGTTCCTTCTGGGATGTCACACTTCCTGGACACTGTCTTCTCAGGAGGATGTCCTGGCACACAGTCAGCCATGACTCTGGAACAGTCTTGCTTTCTACAGTCTGCCTTGCAAAGCCAGGCATGTTTTATTTTGGGGTGTATTTCATGGGAGGAAATGTGGTAATTTTGGTTATCCAAGTCATTTTCATTTTTAAATTGGCACATCACCTTTCTTTCAGTGCTTTGGAACTACCCCAGCGTTCCAGGAAACGTTAGTGATTCACATCAGACTTAGGGATAACCTTTGACTATTTAAAAACTCTTTCAACAGCTTAGCTCATCCTAGTAGTTAAATAGTTGCAGTCTCATTTACATGTTTTAATAAAAGGGAAAGGGACTCTCTTCAGTTCCTTGCTGCCCCCTTAATGAGGATTTGTTTTGAAAAAGTGTGGAGACTGGGGGGAAAAGCTGAAGTGGGCATATTTGCCTATATGAGCTGCACTGGCATATGAGCAAACAGTATGCTCTTGTTAGTCTGTATTAACAGAGGCATCACTTGCCAGTCAAGGGAACTGATTGCTCTGTTCAGCACTGGTGAGGCCTCACCTGGAGCATGGTGTCCAGTTTTGGGACCCATATTTCAAGGAAGATGTAGACAAACTGGAAAGAGTCCAGTGAAGAGCTGCAAAAAATGATTAAAACTCTGGGAAGTATGATTTATGAGGAAATGCTGCAAGAACTGGGATTGATTGGAGAAGAGAAGACTGAGGGGGGATTTGATAAGTCTTCAAATATCTGAAGGGTAGCTTTAAGGAAGACAAGTGATAGACCCATTCTCTGTGTCTGCAGGGCTAGCAGTGATGGTCTTAAATTGTAGCAGTGGAAACTTAGGTTGGAGATTTAAGAAGAAATTCTCACTGTGAGGATGATTCCGCACTGGAACAGGTGGCCCAGAGAGGTTGTGGAATCTCCATCCCTGATAGATTTTAAGACAAGACTTGCCAGGGATGGCTTAGTCAGGGGTGATCATGTCTAGAGCAGGGGGTTGACCTGGATAACTTCTAGAGGTCCCTTCCAACCCCGCTGTTCTATGATTCTGCAACACCTGGGTACATGCTACATCCCCAAGGGAGGAGGTTCTCCTTTATCATGGCCCTAGGAATTTTGACTACTTAGTTTTTAAGCCATTTGCCTCACCTCCTTGATGATAGGGAAGTGCTGAGTCTTGCTCAGGTGAGGGGTGATGGGACTCTGCTAGAATTTCCTTAGTCTTCCAGCAGAATCCTGAAGGCAGTCAGGATAGAGGCTGCTTTGTGGATGGTGATGCACAAAGAGCATACTGTTTGCTCATGTGCCATATTTCCTGGCCCCAGAGAACTTACCACAGGAGATGTTATGGAAGCTGAGGTGTCATCTCCTGTGGCAGGGATGAAGGAGGTTGAAGGGTCCCCTGACTTCAAAATGCCTCAATGCCAGGGTGATGGAATTTAGTATCACTCCATGGTGTCAGAGCTCATTACATGGGCAGTCTGAATTCAACATGGGTAAAACACCTAACCCCCCTCCCATATGCATATCACCCTCCATCCCCATCACCCAGTGCCTTTGATGCCAGTCTTCTCCTTCTTGGAACAACATCAGAAAGCCTTGGTGCAGAGTCATTATTTCATGGCACAGCAGGGAATCATTTTCATGCAATAAGTGCTGATAACAAAGCCTGATTTTTGTGCAGAGAACCCTGAATATGCTGCAGGCAGCAGCGATGGCAAGATGCTAAAATAGGAGGATTTTAATTTTCAGTAGCTGATTATTTGAAAGAACTGATGACTGATGTAGGATTAATAGGATTCTAAACAGGTTCCATTTCTTCCATTTCATTGAGCCAGACTGTATCCAGAGAATCCCTCCTGACCTGCAAAAAAAATCCGTTTTTGTCATTCTCCAAGCTTTTGAATACAGACAAATGGACTTTTCTTATGGCCTGACTGTTCTTGGACTATATGAAACCCTTTATTAGGGAGCAAAATTTAGGCATTTGAAAATCCAATCCCAGAATTACTTTTAAAATGGGAAAACATGAACTTTCCCCTGCCTCCTGTATGGCCGTGTTGCAGAAGCAATTCACTGTTGCCTTGCATTTGTCTCGTATCACTGGCTTGTTTCCATTCCAGGCTTATGGGGGTGCTTACGATGTGATGAGTTCAAAGCATTTACGAGGAGATGTTAATTACGCGTGGCCTACTGCGGAGGTTGCAGTGATGGGTGCAAAAGTAAGCATGGTGGCAGGGGTGTTGGGGGGGGGG